AGCTTTTCCTGGCCAGGCCTTTCCACGGAACACTGAAGAGCACAACAGTGTGGCACAGTTCTTAGCATGACACCTGGAGATAGTTTCTATTCTGTTTACCCCTTTTCACTTTACTCTATTTTTTCCTGTCCCACTCTGCTCTGTTCTTGAACTTTCAATATTGGCCAAACTCACTAAATTAATTTCATGAGCTGGAATTTTGTCTCCGACTGTTATTTTGGGGGAGAGTTTTTCAAACTACCTTCAAACTCAATCCACGTGTTATGCTACTCATCCCATTGTTTCCAATTTTTTGCTCCTTAAAAAAAAAATCAGTGCAATTAACCTTCAAACATCCAGATGCTAATCATTCTGATAATTTGTGACAAAATTCTAGAATAAATGGGTCAAAGGAACTGGATGCTGAGATCCAAGCCCTGCATTGCCAAGTTGTTTCCTAAAAGGTTTGCACCCCTGTCTGCCTGCACAGGAAGTTGAAGTCCCCACCACACTCATCTTCCTGTGTGAAGTTCTACTTCCTAGAGTTTCCTTTTCCCCCTATTTTTCACAACTCTAGTATTTACGTGGAGTTCTCTGTAAACTTTGGGTCCAGGTCTTTTTCCAGCTCTTTCCCGCTCTGAGAGAGATCCCGCTGAGGTGCTCGGTACACTTCTAGTGGAGGACATTGAGATTCCTTTCTGAGGCGGGTTCATGCTTGTGCTTGACTGCAACCAACCTCCCGCTTTGTGAGGGAGCGTAGTGTCAATCGAAGTGCTGTCTGGAGGGTGGACGTAGAGGTTATCGAGAGGCTGAAAGATGCTAAATACGTCCTATTCCTTCATCTATCACCGATCTATTATCTAATTTCATGAAGGCTTTATTATGACCTCATAAGCATCCTTTTCATTTTCAGTATGTCTTGCAGACAAATGAAACCCCTAAATCACTTTAAAAAGCCTTGTCCTTCCCAAGGAGAGAGATTTCTCTTCACAGCCTCTGGGTGAACTATACATGGAAAATAAATAAATCCACTCTTTCTAGACATAGAACAGGCCAAGTTTTCTAAATCCAGAAATATAAAGTCTGAAATGCTCCAACATCTGAACCACATTGGACCACTCACTTGCCGCAGCAGATGGAAAATTCCACACCTGACCTCTTGCGGCAGGTCACAGTCAAAACACAAGCAAACTAAGAAGACTGTGTAAGGCCACCTTCCAGCTGCAGAGGTGCATGGGAAACACAGACAGATTTTTGTGTTTAAACTTGGCTCCGAGCCTCAAGATACTTTCTCTAGCATATGCAAGTATTCTAAAATGTGAAAAAAAATAGAAATATGAAAAACTCCTGGTCCCAAGGATTGTAGAAAAGAGTTACTCAGCCTGTCACCTAAAAAAAATTATTTGTTATTATGGGCGCACACACATGTGCAGGTGCCCTGAGGAGGACAACTACATAGAGTCAACCTGTAATCTCATTTCTCAATTCCTTTTTATGTGAGAACTAAACATACGCAGTCTGCTTCCAGGAAACTGACATATTGAAGAATGTGATGAGATGCCACATGATAACGGAGCTGTAGTTATGTTTTCTGGAAAGGTTTGTCTTAAAGGCAGCCCTTGGGCTTTGCAACTAACTACACACGTGATGAAAATAACATGTGATCGCCAGAATGATGGGCCAGTGGGTAAAGGCACCTGCACCATGCCAGGAGACCTGAATTCATTCCCCAGGACTGACAGACCCCCTGAAAGCTGACCCCTGACCTTCACATGCATGCCATTGCATGATCATGCCCCCGCACGTATGTGTGTGACTGCACACAAAATAAACAAAAATGTAGTAAAACTATTTTTTTTTTAAATAATAAATAGCACCTGAACTTCTGATTTTGGGGCACAAATTGCAAACGAGTGTCACCTTGAAGCACCAAGCACGCCTGTGTGGTGTGTTCAGGAGGGGGCTAGTCCGACTTCACTGTGGTAGTGAAAATTCCTGACTCAGTGTAAATAATTTCACTGTTATAAAACACAGATTTAGACCTTTGCTGACATCCTGAATTCTTGAGGATTTCTGAGTCCGGCTCATGCTTGTTTAAAAAGCTCTTATGCAAGCAGGATCCACTCGGTGAGGCCTGGAGGCCACTGAGACCTAGTCTCTGCAAAGAAACCTCACCCTACCTCCAGCACACCAGAAAGGCCCTCCCTTAGAAACCAGCTTAGTGCATTGTGTCCATGGAATTTTCCAGGTTGAAAGGCACCTATTTATGGGTGATACTGACCACTTCACCAGCGGAACTTGGCCTTGCCTTGAACATATTTTCAGATCCTATGCAACCCTGAAGAAGCAGTTGGGGATGGGTCTGGCATCCCCCTCACTTCCTGTCTGAGAGGGAGCAGCTCCCAGAGACCATTTGCTCAGCCCTCACAGGGAGGTTGCCATGGGTTGGAATTCACTTAGTGTTAAGTATGCTGTTATGCCATAGACAGTGAGGGAGAGGGAGAAGCCACAGATGACCAGGAGAAAAAGTTAGAGTCATCCGGTCCCCTGAGCAATAGAGCAGGCAAGAAGGTGTAAAATGGGATGTCATGGGTATGTTCTCGGGTTTGCTGGGAAAGAATCCGGAGGGATTATAAACATATCGTTTACTGAAGATGATTTGAAGAGTCTGAGCCTCCAGGTCTCAAAACTGTTAGTAAGTTAAGCTTTCAAATCCACAAAGGTGAGTGTTCCCAAGTATATAAAGCAGAAGCCAGCAGTGGGCACTGTTAGCACAGTGGGGTTCCTTTGAGAATTTCAGGAGTGAAAAGGATGTGGGGGAAATGCATAGGCCACAAAGTTTACTGGATGACTGCGACATGCAGAGTGTTACAAAGAGCAGAGTGAAGGTTAGAGACATGGACAGAAAAGGGGGAAATGACTCTAAAATCCATCACCAGATGAACGAATAAACAGGATATGTGGTATATGTGCACAGTGGGTTATCTATCGACAGCCTTAGAACAATCCTGGTCTATGCTACCACCTCTCACATGGATGAACCTTGAGGACACTAGGCTGAATGGAATACGTCAGACACAGATTGTGTACCATTTCACGTCTGTGATATATCTGGAGTATCCCAGTTCACACAGGAAGTGGAACAGTGGTTGTCAAGGGCTGGTCTCTCTCTCTCTCTCTCTCTCTCTCTCTCTCTCTCTCTCTCTCTCTCTGTAGGGGTAATGAAGAGTTATTTTTTCATGGGTGCAGATTTCAGTTTGCGGTGATGAAAACATTCTGGAAATGGTTTGGGGGCGATGGTTGCTTAGCAACACAGACTCTAATGCCTCTTCGCACAGTACTTTGAAAACAGTTAGGACAGTAAACTTTTATCCCTCCCGAAGACCACAACAAGCAAATAACAAATGAGAGAGCCCAAGGTTTGACTTCTGACATAGAGGAATAAAGACCACGCAGCCACAGGAAGGGAACCGGAGCGCTCCTGGAAGAGACTCAGGTGCCCCTCCGTCACGTTTGGCTGAGGGAAAGAGAAAGCCTTCACTTTGCAGATAGGAGCTTCCTATTACTTGGCTACCCATAAGGCGCCAAACAGTATCTTTGTTGTTGTTTTGAGGCAGGGTTTCTCTGTGCAGACGTGGTTGTCCTGGTACTCTGTAGACCATTGAGCAGGCCTCAAACTCACAAAGACTTGCCTGACTTCACCTCCCTAGTGCTGGGATTAAAGACCACCATCAGGACTCTGGAGTGCACAGCACTCTCTTAAGGCAGGACTGCAGAATGATTCTTTGGAGGAGGGGCACCGCCCCAGGCGTCCCCAGAGTTTAAGAAATGAGCACATTCTGGTTCACAGACAAATCAAGGAGTCTTGGGTTTTCTGCTGCTGTGATAAAACACCAGACAAGGCCAGAAGCAGCTTGGGAGGGAAAGGGTTTATTTCAGCTTACAGTTCCACACCCCTGACTCTCCTTGTAGGAAGTCAGGGTGGGAACTCGAGGCAGGAAACTGGGGCAGGAACTGAAAAGCAGAGGCCATGGAGGAGTGCTGCTTACTGGCTTGCTCCTCCTGGCTTGCTTAGCCTGATTGCTTATGGATCCCAGGACCACCGGCCCAGGGCTCCACCCACAGAGAGCTGGGCCCTCCCACACCAGTCACTGAGGAAAACACAGCACAGGCTGTGTCCACAGGCCCATCAGGTAGGGAATGTTTTCTCAATTGAGGTTCCTTCTTCCAAAATGACTCTAGCCTGAGTCAAGTTGACATAAAAATAGCCAGCACATATCGATTCTTGCCTTCTGAGTTGACAGAGCCAGGTTTCTCTTCAAAGGAATCCTCTAGGCCTGTGGCAAAGACAGAGTTGCAGCAGGGGCCTCCTTCCCAATGTGGTGCCAAATCCTGTGACCTCAGCTCTGAGGTTCAGGCCATTGACCCAAACAGCCTATGGGGGATAAAACCGATAAACCCAAAGCCCAAGCAAACAGCTGTGTGCTGGCGCAGTCCCTGCCCCTCAGAGGATGGGGTGAGAGAGATTCGTAGACCTGAGGCCTCACTCACCCCACACTTTCTGTTCTGCCTGTTTGAAGCTAGGTAGCTTCTTCAAACAGTGCCCAGGCCAACCCGAGGGGCAGCAGGACTCCACACCGCCACCAGGGGGCAGCTCTGCCGCGCTCCCACGTAGCAAGGACAACAGCTAGCCACTTTCTTGACCTGGAGAAAGGAGGAATCTCACTTGAAACTGAGTGGCTGTTCTGCCCACCTCTGGTAAAGACTTCTGCCCTCCAGTACTAGCTTGGGGGTGGGAGGTGGGATGGGATGGAAAATTTTCCAGTCCTGGAAAAAGCCAGGGCTCCAGGAGACCCAGAGCTGGGGACCAGGGAGGAAAGAGGACGCACAAGGCTAGAATTGGGCTTCCATACTGGGGAATCTCAGGACGGAACAGCTAAGGGGCGCGGGGCAATGGGTACCTTAACTAAAGCAAACAAAACAGGCGGAGTGCTCAAAGGTGGGGCTTTAGTGACGCTTACCCAAATCTCTGTTCCTGTCCTACGGCGATCCCAGTGGGTTGTGGCGCTCTGATCTCTGGCAAATCTCCACATTTCCCCGAATGGAAATAACACATTTTTCAAACACGTCCAGGGAAGCGAGCGCCCTTTGACTAAACCTCTGGGGACAAACGGAACGCGAACTCTCATTTCCCGGACCCTGTAGGACAGACAAGTTGAAGACGATGCAAATCTTGAGCAGAAACACGGCTGTAATTTAGTCCTCTAACGTTACTGCTACCTTGCGAAGAAATCTTCCTGTAGTTCATCTTCAAATACGTTGCCACGCAGCAACACCCAGCGCTGCTGCGAAAACCGTGGTGTTTATTTAGATAACGGCCGAGTACTCACAAAACTTAAACGTTCGATGTAAAAAGTGGACATCTTGGAAAGGACGCTTGTCTGCACCAACAAGGCACTTGCTGCCTGATTAACAGTGTTGATTAATGTTGGCGCAGGTTAATCGGAGCCCATTACAATAATTAGATGGTCCAGCCATACATCAAACGAGAGGCAATGAAAAATAGCGCGTTAGGACCGTGAGGCATTCTCGTAGATCTTTCAAAGATCTCAAATAGACTTTACGGGCCATTTATAAGTGGAACCGGTGGTTCGCCATTGGAGAGAACCCGATGGGGCAAGAGTTTATTTGTAAGACTCTGTGATGAATACCAGTTGGAACAAGTCGTTTCAGAAAGTAAAAAAGTACTTGGTTGATAAAATGACGTACACAAGAGTATCTGAGATTGTTCCTCGAAAAAGCCATTGAATTTTTACTCGGTTCTTGGCAAATGGCCATTTTAATCAGAAAGTTAAACTTCTAAGGCCAAGTTCCCTCTTTAACATAAAAGCATCTCAGGAAATGCAAGCATTCAGAAAGCCAGGGTGTGAGAATGAATTCGAGCGACACAATCATTCGGAGTTCCCACCAGCCCAAACAATTAATTTAGCTGGTGATAAACACAGGTGTCCTTAAAACAGAATCATATTTGAATTATTCCCACTTGCTTGCCACCTGGAAGAAAAAAAAAACGAATCGAGTGGAGCTGAACTCCATATTTATAAATAAATTCGTTTCTTTTCTCAAAGAGGGTAAGAAATATTTAATGTGTTTTCTGAAAATTTTAAAAAGTTGATCTCAAAGGAACGTCTTTGCCTTTTCTTTCCCAGCACCAGTCCGGCCTGAGCGGCACTGTATGTGTGTTATAATTCCAGCGTTTAGAGAGTTCTGAGAAATGCTCGCCAGAACCTACCTTTTATTGAAAAACACAGCGCTCCTTTTTCTAACATGGTAACAGTTTTTTTAGTTGCTCCTAGGTGTGTGTGTTTGAATTTTCACTGAAAATTTCTATCTCTTTCCCTCATCCAACCATTGCTTGCTCTATTCCCATGGAATTTGTGCGACCCTCTCTCATTAGAGTGGCTTTAGTTTAGCTGTCAAGTCTCTAGGGCATTCAATTGCAGATAAACGACTAAAACGCCAGCCTAACCGCATTTTTATTAACAGATGGCGGAAAACAAACGTCTTTGGAGAAGAAAAGGGTTAAAGGGTCAATAAACAATTATTACCGTGCTTAAAATGGGGGGAGATTTCTCATCAGATTCCACAGGCAGAGGCTGGCCCAATCCAGGGGAGCTGGGACGCCCCACCAGGCTCCCCCCGCTCAGTATTGCAGGGACCACCTCACACACAGAGTAGTTGTCCCCCAGCGGGACGGCTCCCATAGGCCACCGAGTGGACCCAGCGAAGTGTCCCCGGAGCGCTTCTGATGTTAGGGCTGAGGGCTAAATCCGGAGAAGCAGACTGGGGGCTCGAACTCGTGCAGCCTCCAGGTCCGGATGGCCGCTGGCTAGGGCGTGATACAGGATATCCGAGACCTTGGCAAAAAAAAAAAAAAAAAAAAAAAAAATAGCGGGGTTCGGTGTCCAACTCTCGCTGCTGCCCCTCCTGCGGGTGAACTTTCTCCTCCCGCACGCCGATTCTCTCGCCTTTCTTTCCCTTTTCCCCGGGCCGCGCTCTGACGTGCAACACCATGTGACAGGCCCCCTTCTGCTATAAGCCCAGGCAAGGTCCGCCCTCTTCTGGACTCAGCCCTGGCCTCGCCGAGCTCGGTTCCTAGATTCTCACACGCCCCTCGCCCTCCTGGGCGCCCGGCACCGACTGGCCCTCGGGGGTCCCGCCACCCCCTCCCCGGCTGACCCGGCCAGAGGGACCGCCGAGGAGGAGAAGGTCAAGTCAGGCTCGCACAGCCCCGCGCACGCACTCGGAGCCCCGGGAGGGAGCGCAGACACCGCGCGCAGCAGCCGGAGTCGCCAAGTCCAGGCGCGCGGGGCTCCGCCGCCGCGGTTCCGGCACCTCCTGCA